CCAAGCCCCTTTTTGGCAATTGTGGTGGTGGCACAGATCTGGAGGTGGATTTCAGACCGCTCAGTCCAAGATCAGCGGCAGCCCCGCCCAACATGGCGGCTGTGAAGCTTATTTCCCTCCTGGTGGGGGCTTCCGGCAACAAAAAGTGGACCAATCACAACTGTAAATTGCTGACAAAGTGTAACTTCCTGTTTCTGGGATGTGAATGATTTTATTTGTATGTGAAATACAGAATAAAGATCCTCTGTCTCGTTCCATCGAAACACGCCTCGTAGAAAGTTCTGAGCGCGTGCAGACGGGATGGAGACCACCGAGTGGGCGGGGCCCCACCGAGTGGGCGGGGCATCCCCGAGTGGGCGGGGCCTGCTGCTGGATCGAGCGGCCTGCAGCCCCTCCAGGTGAACCTGTAGAGGTCCGGCTTCCCGTTTCATGGACCAAAGCCCCCCCAACAAAGCCGCTTAAGGTGGAAGGCCGGAACTCTTCCACACCAGAGTGGACATTTTTCTGACCACCTCCCACTCAGACGGGTCCTAGTTTCAATCCCGGTTGTTTCCGTCTGCCTGTGTGGAGTTTGCATGTTCTCTCCAGGAACTCGCAACTTCCTCCGGTCATCCAAACACACGCATGTGAGCTCAGCTGGACGCTCTAAAGTGACCAGGTGACTCAAAGAGGCTCCAACATTTCTTTATATGGAAGACAAAGCATCTTACCAGACCTGAGATTTCAGGGCCATCCCACTGTTACGTGCCCTGTCTGGGTCAAGGAGATAGAAGGGAGCCACATAAATGTAGACAGTGATCCAGGAGTCAAACGGGCATTTAAAAATGTATCTATCTAAATACCAAACAAAACAACCCTCAAATAAAAAGAAAAAAGAAAAGGTAACTTACCTAACTCAGACTAAAACCAAAATATGCAAGCCGACAAAATAACCTACCTAGCAGACACATAAATGGGAGAAAAGTGGGGCTAAATAAAAGGCAGCTCTCCCCCATAAAAACCATCCGAACAGCAAATGAAGAGCCCATTAAACCCTCCAACAGCCACAGAGGCTTAAACGGTGTGTCGGTAAAGGCGGATACAGAACGTTAGCAGCATCGTCTTCCTGGTCCAGAAACACCGACCGGTGATCCCCGGACCAAGTAAGCTGGAGTCCCCCCCGGCCCAGAACCGGGCCCGGTGTCATCCTGGAGCAGTTCCAGACTGCGAACTTGGGGATTTCCCATCTTTTCCCATCAGTCAGACACAGTGACAAAGATCCAGTTAGGCCCTTTCTGACCTGTGGACGTAGTGTGGAGGACCTGAAGGTGGAGGGGGGTGGGGGTCCTTGAGATCCAGGAGCAAGCTAGTCCCCTAACCGGGATCCAGGAGGAGGCCGGTGGCCCCCCCCCCCCCCCATTTTGTTTTTTTAACCCATGGAAAAAGTTGTCCAAATTATTATTTGGACAACTTGTCTAATATCTTATTATTATTGTGGTTATTGTGGTAATATCTTAGGTTATTGTGTATTATCTTATGTCTTTCAACCTGTTCACTTTTTTTTTTGTCTTCCATTTCTGAATTATAAAGACTTCTTATGTGGGGAGGAAAACAAATTAAATGAATTTATCTTTTTCATATTATTATAGGAATATATAGGTGTTCTATGGTCTAAATAATGCCAGGACTTAGCTGTGGGGTTGTTCCCAGTGGGATCATTTAGTGGGCAAATGTGCATTTTTATTTATTGATTTACTTTTACTCTAAAAATATGGAAACAACAAGGGAGGACAAACAACAAAGAGTTGTCTAAATAAAAAAGAAACCTGGAAAATGAGCCGGTTGCCTCCGACAGGGCTGCTGAGACTCCCGGTTTTTCTTCCGGGTGAGCGGGACTGTCCCGTTCCAGCTCCAGCTGTTGTGCGCGCGCGCCCGGCCGCTCGAGATCCCTTTTTTTCTGGAAGAATCCAGGTCACCCAGAAACCCAGAGAGAGCTCCGTCTGTGTCGGTGTGTTTTTCCCCGGAGCTCAGCCCTCCGTCCGGGACCGGCCCCGGGCTCTTCTCCGGTGAGGGGGGGGCAGGGGGGGTGGAGGGTGGGGTGGGGGGGTCAACGGGTTCGTCGCTCTGTTTCGGTCGGTGTCCTTAAAGACGGGTCACGTGGCCCCGCCCATCTGACGAATCCGTGTCGTCACTCACAAACCATATCCGTTTTTCTCTGGATTCGTTCGGTGTCAAGCTCGAAG